CCCCAATTTTAATTTCTCTCTCTTTCTTAAGAAAATTTCTCTTTCTTCCTCAAGAGACCAAAGGGGTACACCTTACTCTCTCATCTTTGATATCTCTCTCATGGGGGATCTCTCAACTCTCTCATGATTACTCATCTCTCATTGAGGTTTTAGACTATAAGGTTGTAGTGGAAAATAGAAGTAATTCTTTCAAACTAGGTTGTTAAGGGGATTCACGTAAGGGTTTGAAATTTGTGACTAAAGAGCTGATAGTTCAATTAGAGGGCTTGGCCTAAACTTGCTTTTTTCATTGAAATTGAAGCTTGATCATTGATCCCATGCCATCAAATGGTGGTGATTCGGTATGGGGTGTAATAAGCCCGGTTGAAGTAATATGGGACGCTATGTTTTTGTTTTTTGTTTTATTTAATTATATTTTCTTTATATTCTCAAATATTAGAATAGTAGATATTTTATTTGTTTACAAAAAATTGGTTTAGTCGCATTAAAGTTTTTAAGATCTTGAATTTGTTAGTTTTATTTTCTTTGAAAGAATAGTTATTGTAATAAGAGTACTTATAAGTGATCTTTGCCTAGAGAAAAGAAAACGAACGAAAAGTGGTGAAAACAAGAAAAATAAAAAAATATATCCCTCGGCCAGATCACATTAGTCTTTCTTCCAAGAATGGATAAAAAAATTAGAGAGAGAAATAATAGATAAATATTAAAAAGAATTAGAGAAAAAAAGAAGAGATAAACATAAAAAGATTTAGAAAAAGAAGATATAAAAGTAAAAAGATTTAGAGAGATGAAATCGATACATATAAACAGAATGATAAAAGGATTATGGGATTTTGAAGGCTGTATAACATGGGTTAGTTTTTACAGCGCTTAGATTGCGGTATAATATGAGTGGGTTTTTACGATACTTACCGTACCGTAATTGTGCTTCACACTAATACGTACCGTAATTGTGCTTCACGATAATACATTAAGGTATACTTGTGATAATTTCCCTACAAAATACCGATTACTCTCTAAGTCATTGAGTCATTATTAGAGAGTAAGTCCTTGTAAAACACCGAATGTTTCTTAGTCATTAATTTCGAAAGTGCATTGGGTTGGATTTCCATTGAAAACCATGGGTACAAGGGTCCTATGAATGGCCAGACATTGGGGAATTTCACGAACAATGAAACAAAAGCATAAGATGTAATCAAAAGACTGATTGATTCTTCAAGTCACTATTTCAAAAGTTGATGGATTACTCAAAAATTTAGATATAGAAAAATGTAACTTCAAATTCAATGCTAAAGACACGGAATGAGAGAGAGATTCCAAACAGAACAATAATTTTTCAAGTAATTGAGTCATCATCAGTGATAAAGCACTGATTGATTCCTCAAATTATTACCTCAAAAGTATATTGCATTATTCGGGGCCGGGGCCGGGGCGGGGCCGGGGGTGGGGGCAGGGCCTAAATTTCCATCAAACAACATGGCCCACAAGAGAGCTCAATGGTCTCGATTAAATCTAGGCCGATCTGACGAATCATGGATGTCTGATAGTGTTTGAATTTTAAGTTTTTTTTATTTTTATTTTACAAATTCAAATCACTTGAAATTTTAAGCATGTATTCATCAAAACTAGGTGAATCTTCAAAAACATATCAAAAAAATATTTTACATGAAAAAGGTAACCAAAATACCCCCATAAAATTTTGGGGGTATTTTTGGTCAATTTATTTTTTTGGATTATTTTTTTATATTTTATTAGATGTAGATTGATGAGAAGAACACAATCTTAAAATTTCAAGTGATTTGGATCTGTAGAAAAACAATTAAAATTCAAACACTACCAAATATCTATGATCATCAGATCGGCCTAGATTCAATCTAGACCGTGGGGCTCATTCTTTTCTTATAAGTCCACTGGCTCACATGATCATTTTTCAACGGGAGACTCATATATTTAAATGAGTCATCTCTCCTAAATCTATTTTAAAGATGAATTTTGGATATAAATTTTTAAGGAATGAAATTCTCAATCATGATAAGTAGACTTAAAAAAATAAATTTTAAAAATAAAAAATAGAAATTTTTTAACATGATTTGTACACGGTTGATTTTAAATTTTTTTGGAGCCACCATTTTCTAATATCCATCTCCAAGATAATGTGTCACGGGAAGCTATTGTAGAACTGTTCCTGACGCATGCAGTACTTTAACTATAATAAGTGTTATAAAAGTGCAAACCTAAACGGTAGAATTAAGGTGCACCTAAATAATTATTGGGAAAAAGCTGTTTTGATGTTGGAAAACCTTTTAATTAATCATCTCGATGATGAGATGTATGAAAATGAAAAGAAAAAAGATTTCGGAATTAAACATTGTTATCTATGACAAAATAGAGAGTCATCAAGAGAGAGAGATTAAGTCATCATGACACAACGTTTTTTCAAAGGGAAAGGTTTCTATACTTCTCGTGCTATATAGAAGATATATATTTCTCCTTCCCTATCCAGCCGTCTAATTTAGATCAAGTGAGCGACTGATCGTTTGATTTAGATCCGGCACCTCATAGTATTTTATTTTCATGTTATTTTTAGAAATTATATTAATATAAAAGTTAGTACATGTCATCATCTCAATGGAAAGTACCTAAAAAGAATATCAAAGCATTATTTTTTATAATAACAAAAATCCCCTTAAACTTTCGAAGCTTTTTCGTTATCTTATTTTGTATTGTTTACACGTGCGAGTTTAAGAGAGGAGTGGATGCCCAAACTTTAGAGTCAAAATATTTTGTAAAAATAAATCAAAAATGAAATAATATACGGGGGTGACATTGTACTTGCAGTTATTTCAACCATCCGTTTAGAATGGGACTATTGGACAGCGAGAAGTATATAAGTTTTATCCATTTTAGGTAAAAACCGTTCTTGGAATATCTTTAGAAAACGTTGTTTCTCGTGAGTCCAACATCTTAAGATGGATATTGGAATAAGAAGGCACCTAAATGAATGGTGTAAAAAAAATTATATTTAAAAATTACTTTTAATATTACAAATTTTTATTTTATTTTATTTTATATTCAAGTACCATGCCGACCTCTAAAAAAATTTAAATATAAAATCTCTCTTTAAGTCCTATATTAGAGGGAGCCCGGTTATGTACATGTGAGTAAGCCGACTCATAAAAACTTGTCCATAACTTTATGATCCCAAATTTTGGATATCAATAAAAGCAAATTCCAAATTGCACTCTTTATGCACTTGAAAAAAAAGCAAATTCCAAATTGCACTCTTTATGCACTTGAAAAAATAAAGTCTCAAGATTAAATACAAACCATCGAATTTTTTAAGGGGAATATCTCAGTGTTAGAATACTCAAAATTCAAAATTCAAAATTCAAAAGTTTAAAAAAATCATTTAGTGATTCTTAGGTGGTTACAAAAATTCAAACTCAAAAAAGTTTCCCACATAGTTCTTCTGACTGAGGGAGTAAATGTACAATTTAATCCTGGAGGAGCATAGTATATGTGCTCATGCACCGATAGCCCATAGCCGGCTGAGTTTTATTAAATAAAAACCTGTGCTTTTGCAATGAGGCCCATCCACATCACTTTTAAAAAAGGGTGCGTATACTTATAGAATCGTCTAGTTTATTTATTTTTTCTGATGTTGATAACTTGTTCAATAGGTCACATCCATAAAATTTAGGGTCCCAAAATACTTATAATTGGAATTTTACCCGAGGGAGCAAATCGATAGTGTGGCTCCCACAAGAGTAACTAAGTCTTTCCAAAACTTTCAAAGCCCTCCCAGACTAACTCAAAGAAGAGGGTGGAAAAGATGAATGAACACACACACCCAACCCCTCGGAAACAGTCGACATCCTGTGGTCACATATAACTAGACTTTTTTCTTTTTTTTTGAGAAGCATTGTGGATGGCTTAATTTAAATTATAAAGAAAAAATGTTTGATCCGGGTTGGACCGCATTCAACTTAAAGACGGATGCAAATAGGTGGTCTTTCTAAAAACAAGTATAACTAACGGTCTAAATGTTTTTTTAATATAATTATTATTTCTAGTTTACAAAAAAAAATTCATATTCATGATCTCGGTGTTAAATATTATATATTTTCTAAAAATTAAGATCAAATTATATTTAAAATATATATTTATTGCCAAGCCCGCATTTCTACAATATGCGGGCTATAGAAACTTACAACAATTGATCGATTTCGCACTTCAATCCTTTAGTATCCGAAAAATAAATTTCGGTACTAAAATAGAAATAGGAATTCGTAGACCCTCAGAGGTTGATTGCCTATTCTAAGTTCTGGAGAGAAAATGTTAATTTTATTGCAATACTAAAGAAATGAAATTTAAGAGAGAGCGAGAGAGAGAGAGATTGCATACAAAAAAAACGAGTAATTCTTTGAGTCATAGTCAAAAAGTGTATTGAATTATTGGGGTTAAATTTCCCTTGGACACTGTAGCCTACAATGGGTCATATTAATGGCAAGACTTTTGGGAAATTCCACACAACCAAACCAAAGCATAAGTATTGAAAGAGAGAGAGAGAGAAATCACGAGTCATCCGAAAACACATTTTTCAAAGTACGATAATGTTCTGAACTGAGGGAAGACAAGAGAGTGGCAAAAAAGGAAAAAAGAAAGAAAGTGGATAGCAGATTCCAACCCATGAATTTTCGTCACTTTTTCCCTTACAGTGGTCTATAAATTTGGTTACTGAATCCTGTACCCAGCACAAGCAAATTCATTCAATAGCATTTCGCATGCAACGGATATGGTGAGGTTTACAATCTCTATATTCCTCTTTCTTATTGTTTTCAATCTTTTAGTAACATCCTATGGTTTATCATTAGCTGAACTTGAAGCAAAAGTACTATTTAACTGGAAAACCAGTCTGAAAGCTTCCAATTTGGATTCATGGTTTCTCGACACCGACAATGAGACTAGCCATTGCAGGTGGGCTGGTGTTCGTTACGACAATGGTGGACGTTGAGATAAACCTTTACAATTTCGATTTGAAAGGTACTCTCAATGGATTCAACTTCTTGTCATTGCCCTATTTAACCCACCATGATCTTAGTTGGAACAATCTTGAAGGTAAAATCCTAGGTCCATTGGCACCCTTTCGAAGCTCAATGTCTTGGATTTGGGTAGCAACATGTTTACGGGTTCGGTGCCAGTGGAGATTGGCAATCTCACAGAGCTTCGCAGCATTTGTCTCAGAAACAATAGCCTCTCTGATCCGATCCCTTATCAGCTTGGTAAACTAAAACATATAAGATACCTAGACTTGGAGAAAACCTCCTGACTTCTTTTGACACGACAAGATTTTTGAGCATGGAGTCCCTTACTTACCTCTCTAGATTTTAAGTTTTTAACGGAGTTCCCGAGCTTCATTTTTTGATGCAAGAAGTTGGTACACTTGGATTTGTCTTTGAATTCAATAACTGGTCTCATTCCAGTTGAGCTTAAGAAGGTAACAAAATTGCATGAACTTATACTAGGTGGCAACAAGTTCACAGGTTCAATTCCCCATGATATTTGCTTAATCTCTGGTCTTAAAACACTAAACCTTTCCTTTTGTAGGTTAAATTATAGCATTCTATTTCAGCTTGGGCAGTGCACAAACCTAAAATACTTATATTTAACTCACAATAATATAACATGCTCTTTACCACCATCTCTTGCTGCATTGAGTAGAATTTCTGAGTTTCATATTGAGGCCAATAGAATTACTGGTGCCATCCCTGGGTTCATTTTCACCAATTGGACTAATCTAAGAAGATTGGATCTCAGCGTTAACTCATTCATCAGACCTATCCCCCCAAAAATTGGTCTTCTCAAGAATCTTCATTGGCTATGTATTCATTTGAATAAGTTTTCAGAACATATCCCTCTCGAAATAGGAAATCTAACAAATCTTGAACACTTGGATCTTTCACGTAACAAGCTCAATGACTCACTCCCTTCCTCCATCGGAAATCTTTCCAAACTTGTTTACTTAAACCTAATTGGTAACCACATCACATGTTCTCTTCCTCCATAACTGTGGAACCTTGAAGCCATTGAACTTAGATGTAGGCTCAAATAATTTTCAAGGCAACGAGTCAGAAAACTCAAAAAACTGTATGAACATGAGTTGTCTCAAATTTTCAAATTAGGCATATCGATTTTCAAGTTCTATTTCAAAAAACATTGCGCAATTCACGCTTAATCTACTAGTGTTGAATGTTGCTGATAATGGTATTACAGGATCCATCCCCAACTCTATAGGAGATTTGGTGAATTTGAGTGTGCTTAATCTTGATGGGACATACTCCAACTACCTTGGGAAACCTAACAGGTCTCTAGTTTTTGAACCTGCGTAACAATATATTATCAGCCAAAATACCCCTATCATTGAGAAATTGTTCCAAATTAAAGGTTCTTGATCTCGGTGATAACCAGTTATTTGGGAAAATCCCATCATGGATTGGCAAGAGCATTGAGTCCTTTCATATCCTTCCCCTAAAGTCAAATATGTTCAAAGGAGCGATTCCTTGGGGGGTATCACAACTATATTCTCTTCAAGTGCAAGATCTAGCACTCAATAGTCTATCAGGAACTACCCCTGCCATTTTCAACAACATAACAACAATGATCGTGTCCAAGACACCAGAGGATTATACAATCAATGCGGTGCAATTTGAAGGTTTTTATTTATATAGCCATGGAGATGTTTACATAGATGTAAATGGGAAAATGCGACCGTATAGCTCGTTCTTTTTTAAAGTGATATGTATCAACTTTTTGAGAAATAATTTTTCAGGAACGGTTCCCGAAGAATTGACAAGATTGAGCAGGCTGCATTTCCTAAACCTATCCCACAACCATTTCAGCAGGAGGATTTCTGAGGAGATTTATAAAATGAAGAATTTGGAAATGCTCGATTTATCAAACAATTTGCTTTCTGGTGAAATTCCTTCAAACATTCCATCTATGACATTCTTAAGCACTCTTAACCTGTCCTTCAATAATTTTATCAGGACCCATTCCATACAGTGGCCAGATGACTACATTCGATGCTCCGTCGTACTACGGGAACCCACAGTTTTGTGGTCCTCCTCTTCCTCTTCTTGAGAAGAAGTGCACTCGCAACGAGTGAATCTCAAATTCAAGCAATAGCAGGGATATGAAAAATAGGTCATCAGAGATTCCATGGATGAGCGTGGGTTTAGGATTTGGTTTGGATTCGGTGGGTTTTTCTCAGTGATATTTGTTTCAAGGCAATGGTCCCATTCCGTTCTTGAGTGGATGGATTGCTTTGGAGAAATTTTGATTACGAGATTGCAAACTTTGATGGGCTTGAAATGTCTCAGAAGAAGATTTGGTGTGTGAAAATGTCAAATGAGGTGCAAGTGCTAAGGAAAAGCAGTAGTATTCAATGTCTCCTAAGCTTGTATGGTGTCTCTTATTATGTTTTTGCTTTTTCTTTTATTTCTTTTTGAACGGCAGCTGTTGTTGTGCCTTTATGTTGTGAAAGTTCAGTTCAATATCAAATAAATAAAGAGAGAAGAGAGAGAATGTGTGTGAGAGGAGAGAGGGCTTTCTTTTTTTTTTGGGGGGCGGGGGGGGGGGGGGGAAAGGGACTTCTGTGGTATTAGAGAGAATAAGTTAGTCATGGGTTTTGTGAGAGAGCAATAGTCATTTAAATTGTGGGCTGTGTACCTAAGGGAGGTTGGATAGACCAATCTGACCCGACTCGGTCCGCTGGGCCTTGTATAACCTGGGCTGGGGTTTTTAATTTTGGTATGCATCATTTGTGATCTTTAATGGTTCATTATCTATGTGGAATTGTGCATGAGATTGTTTATTATCTATAGTGATATATGTGATGACCAAAAAAATTTACGTAAAATATGAAATGATTAGTCAAAAATTACAAGGAATGCCGATAAACCCACATTTTTTATTTTTTCAAAAATTGTTCCTCTGTCTGAGGACACCATCCTCGAATTGCATTTAATTTTTTTAAAAAAATAATTTTGTCATTAGTAAGCGGTGCCCCAAGCTTTAGGGGAGGTGCCCAGGCAATCCGAGGTTCGAATCCTTGGATCACCCTCTTAATTGAGCAGACCTTGGTTCCTAAGTAGCATGAGGTCCCCATCCTTAGACCACTCTGTATCTCCTATTTTTGAGAGAAACAACAATTGGAGGATTGGGACCTCAGACCGCTCTATTGACTTAGCAGATTTGAGTTTCAAGGCGGTCTAAGGTCCCCATCCTCAGACTGCACTTTATTTTTTATTTATTTGAGAAGAACAGTGATCCGAGGATAGGGACCTTACACTGTTCTACTGGAATTTTGTTGTGTTTATAGGGAGGTCTGAGGATTCTAACCTCAAGCTACCTAGGCACTATCTCTAAAGCTTGGGCTCTGCCCTTAAAGCTGGGGCACTACACTACTACCGAAAAACCTAAAAAAAAAATTCAAATGCAGGGTTCGAGAATGGAATCCTCAAACTGAGGTACAATTTTGAGAAATAAAAAAAACGTAAGTTGACCAACCTTCCTTATAATTCCACCTATAATCAGATTATTTCGTATTTTAGGTAATTATTTTGGGGGTCCATACATAATGTCAATCAAAGTGGCGAGGGTCCCACTCAGCTCGCCCCAGTTTTTTAACACTGTTTACGAGATTGCGAACTTTGATACACGATTGTATGTATCGTAATGTTTTGATTAAGAAGATTTCGTGTGCGAAGATATCAATAGAGGTCAAATGAGGTCCAAGCACTGGCAAAAAGTACTTTTATTTTGTAGAATTTATAGTCAATGTCTCCTAAGCTTGGGTCGTCATTGTGTTTTTATTTTTAATTTTTAATTAAATTTATTTTAATTTATTAGGAAACAATATCTATTATTGTCTGTTCATGTTATAGAAGTTTAATTCACTGGAAACAAGCACAGAGAGAGAGAGATGAATGTATAGTCAATCTCTCCTGAGTTTGTCATGTCTATTATTATTATTATTATTATTTAACTAAAAACATCATCTGTTAATAAATATTCAGTTCAAAGTTAAAAGCACCGAGTTAAAAAACATTTGTTAATAAATATTCAGTTCACAATTTTTTGCATTGAGAGAGAGATGTCTCATATTGAAAGGTATAGGGGGGAGAGATAGACATTTACTTTGTGGTTGTAAGTGAGAGAGAGAGAGAGAGATAGCGCTCTATTTAAATCGTGGGCTTTGTGTGTGAGAGAGAAAGTCATGCGTTGAAAGAGAGAGATTCAAACCTTGTGTGGAAGGGTGGATGGAACAAACCAACCTGGATCAGTCTTCTGCTCCTTGTATAACCAAGTTTGAAGTTCCTAATTTTGGTATGATATTCAAGGGGCTTGGTATAGGAGTGGCAATCAGGAGGGTCGACCTGAACCTAGTCTGGGTCTGGTTCCAGGTCCAGGTACAAGTTTTGGACCAAGCGAGCCCGGCCAGCATCAACTCACTTGGACCCGACCTAAGTTGGGTTTGCATCTAGATCCGGCTTGGACACCTATAGGTTTGGTTCAGTTTGAGGTCAACCCGACCCAATATTAAAATAGATATTATACAATGTAAAAAATAATTTTATTTTAAGCAGGGATTTGGGTTATCCCGAATTGCCAACACTTATGCCATGAACCCAATTCACCAAGGTTTTTAACAAAATATGGCTCTTTAGATGTGATTTTAAATGTTTAACATTGTGTTTCCTAAATATTATTGTATTTTGATTATAAATCTCTATGTTTTGTCGAATGCTTTTTTCTTTTTTTTCTTTTTTTTTCTTTTTTTTTCCTTATTATGAATGAAGGATGGCTATCCTAGTTTTCTATGTATAAGATACTCATACACTCATGCTAACAGTATGCCAAATATAATCTCCTCCATCACTACTTAGTGTTGGATGTTGCAGATGAACCTTTCATCAGCTGAATTCTATCAATGAGAATACATCAAAACGTGGTTGCTCGCAACAAACACGGGCAACTCTTTGATCTGATGATTTTCAGGTTGTCTTCACTCATACATAAATCAGTTGTAAATCAAAAATAATTGACCTCACAAAATGCTCCAAACCAAATCCTTGAAGATTGACTCTAGAGTGCTCATATGAGAGAATTTAGAACTCATGCTCTTACTTTATTGTATTATATTCCGATTCAAATAGTTACATATGAGATTACATTCAAAGCGACTATAGCCATCTTAATTTACTGTAATATGTCCTGATTCTAAAAGTCACATATGACATTACGTTCGAAGCTACTGTATTTGTCCATTTGAATTGGATAAATGCCAGGTGCATTATGAATTTTCTTAAGAAAATGAGGCAACCTAATGATTCGTTGAGGTGGTGTTGGGATGTGATGCAAAAATCACATCCTATGGTATGCTCCCTCTTGTTAAAGGGTATTTTTGTCACTAAAATAAGTTTATTAATGGAGGCCCATAAAAAGGGTTTTCTTAGAGAGAAAAACGTGGGTGAGTGAAGGAGTTTGTAGAGAAAGAACCTTGGGGTTGGACAGTAGGGGTTTTGCAGCAAAACCATAGCACCACCATTTGGGCTCATCATGGACTAGTTTTTTGTCGGCATTTCTTTTCGGCATCGGTGAATCGAAAAAAGGAGTCGATTGTAGGTAGTTTTGTGGCAGGATGATCTTTCGTTTGAGGTTTCCTTGAGATTGTATGAGGTAATCCCATTCTTATAAGTTTTCCTCTTGTTGCTGTCTTGCCCATAGACGTTGTCCATCTTTGGTGAACCACATATATGTGTGTCCCTCTCTACTTTCATTTGTGTCGTGCTTTGATGATTTCCCATATTGCTTGTTTTATTATTTTTATACTTTTTTCCCAATTATATTACAGTTATTATTACATCTTGAGGCATTGTTATATGAGTGTTGAAATTATTGTGGTAGAGTGCTCACCACATCTAGTGGGATTTGAGATATCCCGATTTGCTCAAAAAAGGTCATTGAGTTATCTTGATTTTACAACATACAAATCATAACAAGAACAAGAGAAGATAAATAAGACCATTCATTTTTTTATATAAGGAGGTCACATTCATAATTGACCATTAGATATGAAACCAGAGAGTTGAGCATGTGTTATATATAAAATGCGTAGTCTTAAATAAAATTTCTTAAAAATTGTGACACACTTCAATTCATCATATTTTATATCCAATGATTAAAAGTGACTTTGACCTTGTAATGAAATTCATTTATGAAAAATGTTAGGGTTGTAGCCCTATAAATAAATAAATAAATAAATAAAAGATAAAGTCTCACCTAAAAACTCATAAAAAATTGTAGTTCTAGAATAGGAAACTTCAAATCGATCATCTAAGCTTTGACCATTACGGTTATGAAAAGAATTAGGATCTCAATCCTTAAAAATAGTATATATTATAACATATTATCTAAACTACCCATTTCACCCTAAAAATAATTGTTTACATATCTTGCAGATCTGCACCATTTTTTTAGCTTTAAACTTAATCGCAAGGGTTGGAAATTGGTTTTATAGCCATCATGGAGATTTCTGATGCCCCAAGTATTTTCCAGATGAGGATTCAAGGTGAGGTGTTACTCTGTTTCCACAATGTCTATGCCTTATAAAAGCTATACTCTTTATTTAATTTTTTATCTCGATGTATCCTATCAATAACTTGGACTCGACCCAGGTTTGGGTCCAACATATACCTAATTGGTGGTGTTCAAGTTGTGGTGACCTGGATCTGACCCGATCAGTTTACACTCCATCCTCCAACTCGGTTGAGAGAGACCCAAAAAAATTCATTTATAGAGGGTGACACAGTATAAAATTTACCTGCAAACAACACCGACAAAGATAACCACGTTTTAGAGAGAGAAATAAAAATTACGAAAAAAATGACAAGAAGAAATAACAAATGCATGGATACGAGTATTCCGACACAGGCCCATAAATAAGAGAATAAACTACACCCACAAAGGGCTCTCTCTCTCTCACTCTACATGATCTAAAAGATCAATTTTTTTTCCATTCATAAATTTCAAGTTTCTAATACATGGTCGTACCTCCTTTTTATACATTTAAACTTTGCTTTTGGAAGCTCCCTACAAATAAAATATCCTTATCCAATACAAAGAAAGGATTTATCCAAGCATCACAATCTCATGTCCCACCTTCTCCTCATTGTAAAAGATAACTTCCTTCTAATAATTTCCTACTAAAAGCCAAAAGTGATTGCTAACTAAACTAAATTTATTTTAGATTCTTTCCAAAATCTTTCTAAAATAAATTTTTATGTTCCTAAAAATTTGCTTACTAAAAGGAAACCTCTTTTCCTACCCACGTTAATATGAGGAAGCAAACTTTAGAATGTGATCTAAATATTTGCTCCAAGATTTGCTACAATTTACTGTAAAACCTTAACCGCCTATTAAAATCTAGATTGACTTTATCAAACTAAATATTGTCTTGCCCAAAAAATAAAATACGGACACCTCCTTAAAATATATGACCTTTATCAAAAAAAAAAAATCCCTACTAATCTTATTTCAAAAAATTGATCCCAATAAATAAAAATAAAATGTCTGCTCAATTTTTAAAAATAAAATTAACAAAATTACTATGACGACATTCACTTGTGTTGTGAGCAATTGAGTTTGCTGTAATTTCCGTTTTTGTATACTTCCTTTTCTCTTATGATGCCGGTACACCCCAAGAGTAATGAAACTTGACTGCCAGCCAAACACAGTTTAATTGATTATGAAACAAAAGCGTAACAAAAGCGTAACATTTTATGAAACGACTGACTAATTTTTCAAGTCATTATTTGAAAAGTTAATGGATTATTAAAACATCTAGAAATAGACAAACAAAGAACCTCCAATAAGAAAAAAAAAAGAAAACAATTGGTTAAAAAAGAGGAAAAAAAGAAAAAATAAAGTTGATAGCAGCTTCAAACCATGAACTCATCTTTTTTATCCTATCCATAGTCTATATTCGTAAGTCAATAAAACTGAATCCGCACCACTGTTTAACTAGAAAACAAGTCTCAAAGCATTTTGGATTCATGGTTTTTTGACACCGCCAACCAGAGTGGGTGGGCTGGTGTTCGATGCAACAATGGTGGATGCATAATTGAGATAAGCCTTTCAAATTTTGGTTTGAGAGGTACTCTCGATAAATTCACCTCCTTTTCATTACCCTATTTAACCCACCTCAATCTTAGTTCGAACAATCTTAAAGGTAGAATCCCCAAGTCCATTGGCACTCTTTCAAACCTCAGTGTATTGGATTTGGGCAGCAACATATTTACATGTTTGGTGCCATTGGAGATTGGCAATCTCACAGATCTTCAAAGCATTTCTCTCACAATCAACTCCCTCTCTGACCCGATCCCTTATCAGCTTGGTAAATTGAAATATGTAAGGTTCCTAGACTTCGAAAAAAACCACCTGACTTCTCCCGACATGACAAGATTTCTGAACATTACTTACCTTTCTCTACGTGATAATTCTTTAACAGAGTTCCCAACTTTCATTTTTGGATGTGAGAATTTGGTACACATAGATTTATCACAGAATTAAATAATTGGTCCCATTCCAGTTGAGCTCAAGAAGCTAACAAAATTGCAAGAACTTATGATACATGGCAACAATTTCACAAGTTCAATTCCTCATGAGATTGGCTTAATCTCTAGTCTCCGAACGCTCAAATTGAGTTATAATTCTTTTATGGGTGGACCCATCCCTGTGTCCCTTGGGCAACTTCAGGCTCTTCAGACTCAATACCTCTCCATGTTAATTAAGAAGTAGACTCTACATAAATTTTTTCTTCTAATTAAAGAGTGATTTATGTATGGATCTTAAATTTTTTCCTACAGTACCAAATACTCCGGTTTTCAGTAGAAATTACAAAACATGTCGGTCAACCCACGTTTTTGTATTTTTTTTTCAAAATTAGCTCATCCTCATACCCAATTTTAATTTGTTTTTTTAGTTTTTTGTTAGTTTTAATTTTAATTTTAGTTTCCCTACAAAAAAAAAATCTAAAAAATTAAAGTTAAAAATTCGGTCTTAGGATAGAATCCTCATACTCATCCTAGGACTGAGGGACAATTCTAAAAGAAAAAAAAACCAAATGCGATTGACCGACCTTCGTAATTTTTGCCTGAAAAGTATTTTTGGAGAAATTTTCGGGTCTATACGTAAATTTTTACCATGACGACATCCGCATGTCCTGTTATGAGATTTTGAGGTGTATGGAGAGAGAGACCCCTGCAAAAGAATAATGCCGGAGAATAATATGAAAGAGAGAGAGCAGGCCAAACACAGTTGAAGTCTATGTCGAAATTTGACTCAGCATTCACACCTTCCTCTCACTCAATACGTTTTAAACACATTCTATACACAATCCAGTAAGCAACCTTAAGAAACATTAAGAAGCCATGGAAATGGTGGTGAGATTTCCAATCCTTATCCTTTTTTCACATTTACCTTGGTCCTTCTCATTTGATCCTCTGGTTCGCCAATGGTTGAATTAGAAACCAAAGCACGGCTCAACTGAAAAACCAGTCCGATAAATCAGAATCTCGACTCATGGGTTTTCTATGCTGACAACAAGACTGGCCATTGTGATTGGGTTGGTATACGATGCAACAATGGCAGAAGCATAATCGAGATTAAGCTCTCAAATTTCAGTCTGAATGGGACTCTCAACCAATTGAACTACTTATAATTGCCCAATTTAACCCGCCTCGATCTCAGCTTGAACAGTCTTGAAGGTAAGATCCCAATGACCATCGGCACTCTTCCAAAACTCAGGTTCTTGGATTTGGGTCACAACAATTTCACTGGTTTGGTGCCTATGGAGATTGGTAAACTCACGGAGCTCCATTTCGTTTCTCTAGAAGACAATTGGCTCGACAGACCAATTCCATACCAACTTAGTTGCCTACAAAAATGCAAAAGGTACAGCACCTGGACCTCGGGGCCAACTTCTTGACATCCCCTGACTCTTCGAGAGTTTTTGGAATGGCATCGCTCACAAAACTATCCCTACTTTTAAATTCCCTCACAGATTTCCCAACCTTCATTTTCCACCATAAGAAGTTGGTGTACTTGGATTTATCTCCGAATGAGCTCAATGGTTCAATCCCAAATCTCTCAGTGACCTCAACCTCTCTATCAATTCCTTTCAGGGCCACATTCGGTCTGAACTTCGTGTTGAATGGTGATAGAGAAATCCCCTTTTGGATGCTTTTATATTTTTCCCATTTGTTTTGGTATTTTTTTTCCCTACAATTAGATCACTTGTATAAAAGCAAAAAAAGATTTTTTGAGATATACGATTGTTCTTGTCTATCTAGAAAAGCGTCTCTCTAATTTTCTCTCATCAATATGTTTTCCATCTCTAATTTATTTTTTAAATTGTTGCATAAAATCTTTGAACGTAATATTGAATTATCGATTTTACATATTCGATATTGAGTTTGTGATATTCGGTGAACAATTGAAGTTTCGGATATTCGAATCTCCAACACTTCGGAATCTTGTGAAACTGGAGGATCTCATACTAGGTGAGAACAATCTCACATGCACAATTCGTCATAAGATCGGTTTAATCTCTGACCTTTTAAGTACTCGAGCTCTATAAAAACCCACTGATTGGACCCATCCCTGCATCTGTAGGATGACCATATGCTCTAGAAAGACTGGACCTTCACAATTTTGGATTAAATTCTAGCATCCCATCTGAACTGGGGTAATGCAAAAACTTGAGATTCTTAGACTTGGGTCAAGTTCTTTACCACCATCATTGGCTTCCTTGCACAGAATTGAGGAGCTGGATATTGGTGGCAATGCTACTATAGGAGAAATCCCTGGCCATTTTTTTTTCCAATTCGCTCGATCTTGTTATTTGCAACTCCAGGAAAACTTGCTCGTAGGACCAATCCCATCAGAAATTGGCCTTATGAAAAAGGTTGGCTTCTTATACTGATTTACAAATCAAACTTCTGGATCAATACCTCCTGAGATATGGCATCTCATAGATCTTACGGAATTGGATCTTTCAGATAACCTGCTTGACGGTTCTCTTCCTTCCTCAATTAGAAACATAACAAAGCTTACTATGTTGAACCTATTCGGGAACCAGTTACAGGAACTCTACCTGTTGAGATAGCGACTCTCAAATCCATACTAACTATTGACTTGAGTGAAAATAGGTTTCAAGGCCCATTGCCGAGCCGCTTATCTCACCTAAGAAGTCTAGGGCTTTTCTACATCTTCAGCAACTTCTCTGAAAATATTCCATTGGATTTTGGCCAAAATAGTTATTTAGTAAATGTGAGCTTCTCAAACAACAGCTTCTCCGGTGCATTGCCCCCACAAATTTGCAAAGGCAAGAAGCTAATATACTTTATGGCTGATGACCAGTTCCGGAAAGCTTGATGAATTGTGAGACCTTAGTTAGAGTCCGATTGGAAGGGAATCTTACCACTCGGAATTTGTCAGAGTTTTCATCCTAATACCCACATTTGGATTTCTTGTCTTTGTCTGACAATCAACTTTTTGGTTCGATACCAATAAACATTGGTGAGCTCATTCCTAATCTAGGAACTTTACTCCTTTCCAATAACGGGGTTAAGGGAGCCATTCCCACCTCCATAGGGAGCATGATGAATTTGGAAGTTCTCAGTCTTTCCAAGAAATGAACTGACAGGTTCCTGCTAGCTTAGGAACCTCGTCGGTCTTCGTTTTTTGTTCCTAGCTAACAACATGTTACAAGGCGAGATCCCGTTCTTATTGAAACATTGTTCGAAAGTAGAGATTCTTGATCTAGGTGAGAATTAAATATCAGTAAATCTTCCATCTTGGATTTGTGAGATTTCCGCTCTTCGTATTCTCCGTCTACGATCTAACGGGTTGGTGGGAACCATTCCCCCAAATATGAAACTGCTCACTTCTCTCCAGGTACTGGACATTGCTGGAAACAATCTAATGGGCACAATCCTTGGCATGTTTGAGAATTTCACTACAATGATCATTAAAGATGCAAGAAAAAGCTTGAACATAAGTGGTTCGTATTATTTTGAGAGTATCAATATCGTAATAAAAGGAAAAACGCTGGAATTTAAGACGTCTCTTTTTCTCATGAAAACCATAGACATCTCGAATAATAATTTATCAGGGGTGATTCCTGAAGAACTAACAAGGTTCATAGGCTTGGTGGTGTTCAACCTGTCAGGAAACCATTTCATGGGGGAATATCATTTCATGGGGGAATATTCCTGAGAACATCGACAGATTGCAAGAACTCGAATCACTAGACTTATCAAGAAACTTACTTTCAGGCGGCATCCCTCCAAGCTTGTCCTCTATGGCATCCTTGAGCTATTTGAACTTATCCTACAACAATTTGTCGGGACTCATTCCCTCTAGTGGCCAAATGAGCACATTCGATGCAACAGCATACAATGGGAACAAATATCTATGTGGTTCTCCATTCCCCAAAGAGTGTTATGGTGATGAATCCTTTCGAAATTTGAGCAAAGATGAGGATCTCGGAAGTGGGTCAATGGAGGTTCCATGGTTTTGGATGAGTGTGGCTTTGGGATTTGGATTTGGAATTGGTGGGTTTTTCTCAGTTCTACTTGCTAAATGGCTATGGACTGCCATGGTCTTCAAATTCATGGATGGCATTGCAGAATCTTTTGTTTCAAGGTTGCAAAAATTGATGGGCAATTGTAAGTGGTAATCAGTTCCAACAGAGGATTTGAAGAGTGAAATTGCAGAAACTTGGAATAGAGCGTATTGTTAGAATATGAACTTGTTTGATAACTACATCTTGTGTAAATTTTATGCTGAGTAAGTTCAGTTCTGTCTTTTTTCTTTTTCTTTTTGTTTTTTGAGAGAGAGAGAGAGAAAGACCAGTTTTTTGCTGCTATTAAGCAGAGAGAGAAAGGCTTTGGTATTCTTGTTTGTGTAGCCTCTGTGGAGTTTCAGCCACTTTGACCCAGATTTTGAAATTCAGTTTGTCTAATTAGTGAATAGTTAGGACTTCTTTTTTATTAAAAATTGCTTGATTTTGGACCCACCAACCAAACTATTACAAGGCTGAAACACAATTCAACAGTTTTCTTGTTCTGAGCTTAAATTTGGCCTTCAACTCATTCAAAACTGTGGATCTCACCACTTACAATCATCGCTAAGGGTGAGAGAGAGTATTATTATTCTTCAGTTTAGGTTTGAAACAAATTATATTTTCTGCCATCTGTGTGGAAAAAAGGCAGAAAATTTTGTAGAGATGGATGTGAGTTACTAAAAAAACAACATAGAAAATGTCGTTATTGTTCTTAGACACAACTACTGGTTCAAAACTTCAATTCATTGTGGGCAAATCATTCAGAACAAAATGAACCTGGGCATTCAATGAAACAAATTCCCATTTTTTTTAAAGCACGCGAACAGCAAAATAATGAAGCCACAAAGAAGAAAGAATATAGAATATAAATCAAAACAAAAAAGAGTTCAAATTGTCATGCACACATTATTTTTTATAAATAAGAGGTTTGAATCCATCGTATCGAGAGCATCATCATCTCAAAGCCTTTTTCAAACTAATTGGGATTTGCTAAGGTTCTTTAAGTCATCCTTTAGCTAAATCAAGAGGTGGATTTGATGGTAATGTTATTATTATCTATTTGAGTGGAATGTTGTAAGAGCTAGCCTTTCTAAAATACGGATCTCAAGGGCCTGGTTCTTAGCTGGTTTGGTAGCAACTCCAAGGTTAATGTAGAGATAGAGAGAGGCAGAGCAGAAGAGGAGCTTCAGATAGGCCTGGCAATGAACCGGGTATCCCGGCCGGGCCCACAAACAAGAGGTCTTACACCATAACATGTGCTCTGAGGATCAGGCTTGGGCTGCGCCAGGGCGGGCCTGACCCCTATTTTTTTTTTTTTTTTTTTCTTTTTTTTTTGGATTTTATTTATCTTGGCCAACCCAGTCGTGACAATGCTAGGGTCTAGCTTTGGCCAAGGCCTCTTCAGTCTAAGAACCGGTTTAAGGCCAAGGCTGGCCCAGCCCAGGCCCATCCCGTTGTCATTGCCCTACTTACCGGCAGAAAGTGGCCATATAATCAGGTCAATTTTGGAGGAAGGTTGCCAAAGTGGGGTGAGTTTAATAAACCAGGGGGTGGAAGAGAGAGATGACGGTAAAGGTATTGGAGTACTCTCAAATATGCATATTTGTTCTAAAATGGTAAAAGCTTATCATCAATCTGTTTTTTTTTTTTCTTTTTCTTTTTTGAAAATTAACCACGAATTTCATTACAACAAAGAAGCAATAACATTAGAGGAGTCCCATTGTCTTATGACCTTCCCACTCCATTAAGATTCCCACACCATTAAGATTTTTAGACCCTCTAGCAGTCCTCTTGATTTCTCGCTCTCTCTAAACTCCTTTACATCATTTGAAGCTCCTGATCTCTCACCCAATTTAAGCTCACATTTACAACTTTTTTTATAATGATCAAAATGTCAATAAAGCTCTGATGACAATGATGATGAAAACACATCGGCTTCCACATATAAATATGGAGGCAAAAAACCACTTCCAAAACAAATATATCATATTGGAATTGAAGGGTAATATAGCATATTGGTCCCTTGAAAGCACTTGGGGCTTTCCATTAAAGAGAGAGGGAAAAATACGTATGAATGGGCAATTGGGGTTTTCCTTATTCCCGTTTTCCTCATTAAACCATACTAGAAAATCTAAACTGTCCACAAAATAAATAGACGGTGTAGGAGGGTGCAGTCCTAGCTATTGCGGTATGATTGCAGCCATATATAAACTCTCTCTTGGATGGATCGATTCGATCTATGTTACCCATTATCCATGAACCATGTCCCAAGGGAAGCATAGTATCCACTTGGTCGCTCAACTGAGAAAGCTACTTATTTCTGGATCTGAAATTTTAGGATCCGCTCAAACCACACCGGATAATTACTTTCAAATAAGAAAATTAGACTTTGGGTTCTTTGAAAAATCGAAAATTAGATTGCAACGAACGTAGGAAAAATCGAGCGATTAGAATTCTAACTCCCTGGCTAATTGGGACCGGCCACTTGTCGGTTTTGGTAAACCAATCGGATATTTAAAAAATAAAATAAAAACTAAAAGAAAATAAATAAATATATATATATATATAATATCAAAAAATAAGGGATTTTGAAAATTGTTATAGCCATTAATATTTATTTTTTTACATTTTTCCATCTTTTTCATTAATTTTCAACTTAAAAATCCATTTTTTATTAATTTTCAACTACATTTGAATGTGCATTGTTTAATCATGTTTTAAATATACTTTTTACATTTTATTAGATTTTGTTTTGTATTTTTTTTAACACTTTTTTTACTGACTGGGACTTGCCCAATTAGGCAAGTTGAACCGGCTTGTCTACCGATTAGGCTAGTTGAACCGCTTCTAGCTTCATATCCGGTTAATCATTTCGGTACCGATTTTTCCTACACTGATTGAGCAACCTTAAATAATCAAGGCAAAGTGCACTTCCAAATTTTATCATAATATGTAATGTTTTTGTCAAAAATTCTACGGATGGCTTGAGAATCCATTTTCATCTTTAATTATAAAAATTATAATTCAGAAAATAATTCATTTCAAGTAGATCATAATTCATTTCAAATAGATCTAGAAACACATGAAAATCTTGAAAACGGATAATATGTTGCAAGATTCACTATTTTTGAGACTCAAAATCTTTTTCTTTGTCATATTCATATAGCTCGATGTTGAGATCCAACCTAAAAAAAATATCTTCTACATTTAAGAATTACAATCTTATATAAACTTTTTAAAATCACATCCTGATATAAACTTTTTAAAATTACATATAAACTTTTTAAAATTATAACCTGGAATAAACTTTTTACCTTTTTTGAAAGGGATACATCCTCAAATTACAGAATCCTGAAAATATTTTACCTGGGAGCAAATAGCCATTCAAGAGCAACAAGTCATTGTACAAAAACCATACGACTTTTTAAAAACAACTTTCTTAACATGGGTAAAAAACAAAAAAAACAAAACAACAGAATTTTTATTCCTATATCATTTGGCTGAAGGAGAAGGTGGAATTTTAATAAGCAATATAAAAGTACATTTCAACCAAAAAGATTATCAAGAAGTTTCTAATTCGTTTGGTTTGCGTGAAATAGTTTTATAGGAAAATGTTAATAGGAAAATAGTTACATATGCAAACAATCTACGTGAAAAGAATTACTCAATCATGCTTTTCTTATGCTTGATAAAAACACTTGGAAACAGGTTGAGAGTGAGAGAGAGAGAACATATTATGGACAAAAAAACAAGCATCTACAAAAGATTGCAGGGGTATTTAGAAATATTGTAAGAAAAATATAATCAACTAATCATATTAGCCGGCGTTTGTAAGAACAAAAAAAAAAAAGGGAAAAATCATAGATATCACGTGGACTATATTTCAAATAGATATAGTTTTTCTGTTAAAAAAAATTGTTATAGTTTCTCTCTAAAATTTGAATTTTGAAATAATTTAATTTGGATCTAGGAGGAAAAATCGCCCTTCGTAATTTTCTCCTCTCGTAGGAAATTCTTTTTATATGAAGGTCATTTTATGGTAAACATTTATCATATGAAATAATTTTTTCACATGTTCAATAGTACAAACCAAAACATGTGTAACCTCCACTTTCATATAAAAAAAGGGAAAAATATCTATACTTCTCCTATTGTATGGAAGATATATACTTTCCTCTATCCAGCAGTCAAATTTAGATCATGTGAGCCACCGACCGTTTGACATAGATCCGATGTCTTATAATATTTTATTTTTAGTTTTTTTTCTAAGAATTGTATAAATATAAAATTTGGTAGTTGCCATCCTCTCAATGGGCAAAACTAAAAAAAAAATTTAAAAAAAATTCAATAAAATATAATGACCAAAGTAGCGTTTGAAATTTCAAGGGGTATTTTGGTTATTTTATTTTGTTGGGAATATTTTTTTGAAAATTTGTTTTATGCGGGCTGGACTGTATTTCTACATATGCGTTCCAAAAAGTGTAAAGCATCCAATTTAAAGATGGATGTAACCATCTAAAAACAATGGAGACCAATAGTCCAAATGTTTTTTTACTATAATTATTATTTCTAGTTTCTAAAATTTATTTATTTTTTCATATTCACGATCTCCATGTTAGATATTACATGTCCTTAAAAATTAATTATTAATATCTATCTCTCAAAAATAGATTTATTAAAAGGTCTGCGTTTCTACATATAAGGGCTTGGCCGCATATAAACCAAGTCTTTTTTTTTTTTACAAGTGCTAGTTTAAAAGAGGAGTGGATGGCCAAAATTTGGCATCAAAATATTTTGTAGAAAAAAATAATAATAAAATAGGGCAAAGACGTGACATTGTGATTGTGATCATCTCAACCGTCCATTCAAAATGATGTACAAGAAAAATTAGATAAGTTTAAAGAAAAATTACATACATATTTGTGTTTGGGTTATTACGAAACTATCGAATAGTTTCTGCTATTACCTATCTATTCCTTTTTTTCATGTCATAACAAATTTTTTTAAAAAAGATAATTTTACCCTTTTTGAACAAGAGAATTCAATGGATTTTTGGTTGTTCAACCACCGAAATGAGACCCATTTCAGTTTGTGAAAAACCAAAAATTTAAAATTTTCGGTAGTTGAATAACTGAATTTTTTTTTCTCTCATAGGTCCTCTACGTATTTTCTCTCTATTGACTAATCAAAATTTCGAGTAACCGAATTCTCTTTAGACCCTTCTTTTACCCACGTTTTACTTATATTTTCTCTTTAAACTCTTCCATATATTTATCATTCTCTCTCTACACTCTCCCTTATGTTTGTCCATTCTCTCTCTATACATTATATTGGGTGCCCTTCCATATGTTTATCCATTCAATGAATTTGTAACTGGAACAGAGAGAATGAATAAACATAAAAAAGAGTTTAAACCCACTCAATGTAATGTATAGAGAGAGAATAGATAAATATGGTGAAGAGTTTGAAATAAAAGATGGGTAAAGCATAGGTGAAAGAACGGCATAGAGAGAGAATTCGGTTGTTCAAAAATTGAATTTTAAAAAAAATTGATTAGTTGTTAGAGAGCAAAAATTGAATTTAAAAAAATTTGATTAGTCGATAGAGAGAGAATATGCAAAAGACTTATAAGAAAGAAGAAATTTTTCGTTCTTGAAGAACCGAAAATTTAAAAATTTTTAATTCTTCAATAACAAAAAATTTTGAATTTTTGGTTTTCAAAAACCGAAAATTTGCAATAAAAAATCTATTGAAATCGATCAAAAGGATAAAATTGTTTTTTAAAATTTTTTTCATTATGATATGAAAAAAATGGACCGATAGATAATAACAAAATCTATTCAATAGTTTTGAAATAACACAAACAATAACGGAAATGTCGTAAGATCCGGAAATGTCGTAAGATCCCTAAGTTTAATGCATAGAAAGCATAAAAAAATTTCCCCGAAAAAAAATGTAAATAACGGCTATCTTAAACGTAATCAACGCCGTTACCATTTTTTTTTTCGTCTTTTCAACCTGGCAACGGTGGCGTGGCCCTCTTCTATATTTCCTATAAATTATGGGCATTTAGTTCGTTCCTGCTCCCAAAGCAGCACTATAAATATTAAATTCCATTCTCGTTTTTGACTTTCTCGTGTTGTTTTCCCTCTCCGAGTTTTAGGTCACATGTCCAATCCTTCTCTCTCTCGTCTTTGCTTCATTTACACTTGAGAACTATCTCCAAAAAGCTGCAATTTTTGCCTAAAATAGTTGATTTTTTACTCCATTAATGCCCTTACAAGCTTCTTATCTCCCCTATTTTTCGATCTTTGAGGTCAGTATCTTCACTGCCTGTATAATATTTAACTGTATGGTTAAAGTTCGCTTGTTTCCCATTCTAGGGTTGGCTTTTGAAGGAATTTTGGCGATTGATTGATCCGATTGTGAGATTGAGGGATCTTGATGGGTTTGGACTATGGTAATGATAAATTTTGGGTTTGTACTTGATCTTTTGGCGATTCTCCATGCTGCCTCTGTGATTTCTTTCCAAAACCAGCTGAAGATTGGTCAAGATATGAGCTAGGTTTTGATGAAGTTGAAGATTAGTGGACGAGGGTTTGTAGTGGAGAGGTTTGGATGGTTTCTGACCGGTTCTTGGAGAAATTGAAGTTTATTGTAAGTCTAGGGTTGTGAATTTCTCAATCTACCGGTCAGTATTGGCTCTAAAGTTGAAAAAATCTTGCGTCTTACTCTGTATTCTCTTTTTAATGGTGCCTTGTTTCTTGTTTATATTGCAAATCCTCTGAAAGTTCACTGTTTTCTTGGTTTTTATCTGGGATGTGGTTTTGGGATGCAAAAAGAGGGCTAAGAATCTTGTTCTTTGCGTGAGATACAATTCTTGGCACTGAAATATTCAGGTTTTTTCTCTTAGAATTTTGGTTTTGATTAAGGTTTGTCTTGGGGATCTTGGTTTTATTAGATGACCCAAGTAGTTGTCAAAATGTATAAAACTAAACATAATGAGGCGGAACATTGGGAATGCCCAATCTTTTACATGTGGATTTGACAAGAAGAGTTTCTAGCAGGATTCAAGAGTTTGAGTTATTGGGTCTCTGAATTATAGAAATCATTATCAATAGATATTCAGCAAAAGTGAAGCTCAGCTATCATTTGCCCTTCTCTCTATAAGGTTTAAAGAGGAGGGTTTTATCGGGGTTTAAATTGTGCTAAGTTATAAGTTTTTACATTCAAACAATTTAAGACAGCTATTAGATATCCAGAAGGGCTTTAGAGAAGAGGTTTTTGCTAGTTGGTAAAGGGCAACAGCTTCATTAAGGTCAATTTGAAGTTGGCTTTTTTTCACTGCATGATTGTTTCACTGTACGATTGTAACAGGCTTTTGGTTTGAAGTTGATATCATCTAAGAGATTGTGTTCAAAGCTTCTGCTTACTAAATGGATCCTTTATGGAAACTGAGCTATCTCCTTGAACCAGCATCTCTTGCTCTCATTTTCACTGCTGTAGCAGTCGCCTTTGCATCTGCACAGCGTGCTCTCAGTCATTCAAAGGAAATGGAAAGAAACCGTGACTTCTCTGAAGCTTCAATCACTTTGGATCAGTCACAGGCTCTTATGATCCCTCTCGCTAGTTCTTGCAGCTTGTTGCTTATGTTTTACCTCTTCTCCTCTGTATCTCATCTTGTCACTGCTTTCACAGCAATTGCCTCAGCCTCTTCCCTCTTCTTCTGCCTCTCCCCATATGCTTTTTACTTCAAAACTCAACTTGGGTTAATGGACCCATTTGTCTCTAGGTGTTGTTCAAGGTCTATAACAAGAATCCAATGGCTACTTCTGTTACTTTGCTCCGGAATAGTTATTGCTTGGCTTGTATCAGGCCATTGGCTGCTAAACAACTTATTGGGTATTGCTATATGTATCGCTTTCGTGAGTCACGTGAGGCTACCAAACATTAAGATATGCTCCTTGCTCCTTGTGTGCTTGTTTGTCTATGACATTTTTTGGGTCTTCTTCTCGGAGAGGTTCTTTGGTGCAAATGTCATGGTTTCCGTAGCAACTCAGCAGGCATCTAATCCAGTTCATACTGTTGCAAATAGTCTGAGTCTTCCAGGATTGCAATTGATAGCTAAGAAGTTGGAGCTGCCTGTAAAACTTGTTTTTCCAAGGAATTTGATGGGTGGAATGGTTTCTGGAAGCAATACTGTGGAGTTCATGATGCTTGGGCTTGGTGACATGGTATGTTGTCTTTTTAGTCTTCTTTCATGAACTCCTTTAGTTTTCCTCAATTTATTAGCAAATGTTTTTGAATTTTATCTGGATTAATTCATTGTCAGAGTTTGTAATAATCTATTGTCTTTCTTCATTCACCATTTTTCTATCTGCATTTATTTTCTTTAACCAAATGTAACAGGCTGTGGTATATTGTTTATTGTTAAGGAGCACCATTGTTGAATATTTGGCCCTAACTAGAAAACAAGTTCTAGAAATCGGATTTTTTTTTTAGATTGGAATCTATATCCTGTTTAATTTGCTGAGGATCTGCATGATGCACAAGTTATTAGAATGGTCTGGATTGGACATGCTCTACAAGCTGTGGAAAAGGATATGTTCCATGGCCACAGGGAACCAAACTGGATTGCTACTTACAGTTGGCCTCTCTATATCTGTTGGTGGCCCAAACATGGTTCCAAAATTCAAATCTCTGTCTGAACTCAGTGATTGGATATGTAACTAGTTTTATGGTAGTTGGGCTGTAGAGTCGAGACTTGAGACGTAGAGTTGAAACTGTCAACAGCTTAACCAATGATGCACAAGCCAATATCCTGATATGACACAAATTGAAATTTACAATTTCTTTCCACTTTTAGTGCTACTTTTGTATGGTACATGATAGAGACCTTATGATAATGGTTCAAAAAGAGGAATACAAAAATGATTCGTGTCATGACAATGTAACTGGGGAAAAAATTGGCAAGTTACTTATATTTTCCACTTTGTTGAATCTTTTGTTCATGAATTTAGGAATCTCACGCCCCTTAACTGTGTCTGATGCGAACCCCCAAAAAAAAAAAAACGGAACACCTTTGTTTGGGCAACATAGCATGACAGTAGTTGAAGAAAGACTTCGCTTTGTTCAAATATTGAGCTAGTGGAGTCATATACCCTTCTATCCCTTGATGATTTAAGGTTCTATCCCTTGATGATTTATGATTTTCCATAATGGTGGCAAATGATATTTTTAGGCTTTAAGAGGAATGGCCTGGATTTGGGGAAAGAAAGATAAGATGATCAAAGAGGATAGGCTGATAGTGGTAAGTTTTTGGTTCTGCTGAGGTTCATTGGGTTGATGGTGCTGGTAGTAGTAATGTTGTTCTAATAGCAGGTTCGTAGTTGTATAGGGCGTGCAAATTTTAGCATAAGCAAAGTGAACCGACCCATTTTTGTGATATTGAACTCTTTCAAAGAGCAGAATCATTGCGAGGTGCTTCGTTTGCTAGAGGGGGGCAAGGTCAGAGGGTGGAAGTAGTTGGCTCAGTGGTGCATGGGGACAACAATGTTGTAGCTTCTATTGATGTAGCATTAGTAGGTTTGGACGATGCCCCTTTAACCTATGTAGATGAATACTATGGCATGGATAGCAGTGTTTTTCATTTCTTTGTTGGCCATCATAATCATCATCTAAGTCTTATGCCAACCAGTCGAGGTCCACTCAGAATTCATGATAGGGATGTGGCAAATTTTTTCCTCTGGCTGCCAACTTAAGTACTTAACACAACCCTCCTCCTTTCTCGTCCGGGCTTGGGTCGGCAATCGCGTAATTTTTCATTTATTTGTTGGTAATGGTGAAAATTTTATTAGTTTGGAAAGAACTCACACTTTAACAGTCCTTAAAAAGCATTAGAGGTGCTGAGGCTGCATTGTAATGATCAGGAATGTGGTCATAACTAAGAGGTCCTGGACAACTAAATGATCAGAAAAAGTAGCATAATTAGCAATGTTGCTCCCCAGAACATACTGCTGCAATGTTGCTCCCTAGAACATGCCAAAAGGCCTTATCAATATCATGTGAAAGTTAATCCAATTGTGTGTTCTGCCAGAGTGGCAGGGGAATTTGGGAGCTAGGTGGGGATTGTTATCATAGGGAGATTACAAAGTGGATCTGTGTTAAGTTCTTCATGGCTTCAAAAAATAAGCCTATATCCTCAATTTGATCCTAGTCCTAGGGACTACGATCACGCAATTTGTCACACGTCTCATCGAAACTGAATACTGATAGGATATCCTAGGTAATGAAGATAGATCCCTCTTGTAGCAAAAGTTGGAGGTGGCTTCAGTCCCCCACTTTGCGTGACATAGAGGACTAAATTGGTGGTTTCTGGTCTTTATGGTGAGTAATCCTTTTTACACATGCCAAATAGCACACTGAGAGGGGTGCTGAGACAAAAATAGATTTGTGTTACCTGAGCGAAACTGTGTGCTAGTGGAGGACAATTGACTGCTAGGGGTTTAAGGTGAGGCTGGAGGTTTTTGTGATAGATTTCACCGAGGACATTGTCTGGGTGTAAGAGGTGTATGGAAAATGGCTTTAGTAGGACACTTTTTGCAAATGGAACAGAAGGGTGGAGTGGCAGGTGCATGTTTGGAGTTTGATGGGGTGGATAGGTTATTTGTTTGGTAAGAGACACAATACGACATCGAACTTTTATCGGGCTGACATGCTCTTTTGCAGGCGACCATTGGGCTTATGGTGAGGAGATGCTTATATAAATTGTGTTTGGAAAGGAAGGGCTCTATGGGTGTTTTATTACTTCATAGCGGGGGAGGGTAGGGCTTTACTCTTAAGGAGAGAAGTGCTACATTTTGCGGAACTTGTGTGGGATTAATGCCCCAACTGTTAAAAATATATATATGTAATTTTTCACTACCCATCTAGTGCAGTCATTTCAGGTCATAACTTTAATACCTCCACCGACATTCTCAAATTCTCTTCTCCCTTCTTCATGTTTCTTTTGTCAATGCAAGTTTTAGGACCATGAGGAGACCACCACTACAAGAAAACTCTTGAACGACAGTAACAAATAAAGACGAACATTTGTAGGCGGTTAAAGAAAGTTATAAATAAGCATAGAAGTAACGTGGAGAAGATCATCAAAAATTCATCTTTCGATTGATTGTCTATCGCAATCACAACACCTAAAAAAAGTATGTGAGATGTACTATTGCCAAAAGGCTCCAAATGTAAGTGTGGTCCTCAAGACTATACTATTTTATTATATCCTTGCCATTCTTACTATTTTAATGTAATAGAGAAAAGTCTTTGATTTTGTATAGCTTCCTCTTCACCCTTTGTATCATTCTTTGCCATTTTCCAAATAAATTGTAGTATCAAAGCTTCCACAAATTCCAACACTTGGTATCAGAGCCTAATTTGTGCTTTCTAAAAGACCCCTTTACCCCTATGGCATCAACATCGGGTATGAATTATACCCCAAACCTAATACCCATCCTAGATGGAGAAGATTACGACTAATGGAGTCTCCAAATGAAAAACTCTTTTTATCTCACAAGATTTGTGGGGTACTGTTGAAGATGGCTATCCAGTTCCAAAAAATGAAGCAACACTTGAATCGTGGGCGCAGGTAAAGCGGAATGAATACAAGGAAAATGAAAAGTGTGATGCAGAAGCTCTTCTCTTCATCCAGCAAGTTGTAAGTAAATCTATCTTTCTTAAAATAAAAATTGCATCAAAATCAAAAGAAGCATGGGGAATTTTGAAAAATGAATTTCAGGGATATGAAAAAGTGATGTATATCAAACTCCAAAATTTATGGAGAATTTGATAATTTGATGATGAAAGATAGTGAATTAGTTCAGAATTTCTTTGCTAGAGTTGCTAGAGTAATAAATTAGATTAGATATTATGGAGATAATATTCATGATAAAAAAATTGTTCAAAATTTTTTGAGAAGCTTACCTACAAAGTTTGACCATGTTGTAGCCGCCATAGAAGAATCAAAAGATTTATCTTAATTTCATTATAAGATTAAAGTGGGTCACTTGAAACACATGAGCAACGAATGAGTAGAATTTCAAATTAAAATATGAAACAAGCTTTTCAATCGAAAGTGACAGTTTTAGAAAAGAAATGTATTGAAGAAAATAAAGAACGGGGTGGTGCATTTCAAAATTCTCAATGAGGTCTTGGAAGACAGAAGTTTTTTATAGGCCTAGGAAGAGAAAGAGGAAGAAATAATTGCAACAGTCACAAAAATCCATATCAAAAAGGTAAATATGAATCTTATTGTATTAGTTGAAAAAATCAGGACATGAATAAAGAGATTGCCGATATAAATGTCAAAAGTGTAGAATCCCCAATCATTCTCAAAGATATTGTTGGTTTCAAACTTTCAATAGAAAAATGAAGTATATTTTTCTGAAAAAATAATACAAGTAAGATGTTTTATTCTTTCATGAATGATCAACAGAATTCACATGATATTTGGTGTCTGGATAGTGGTTGTAGCAATCATATGAAAGGGAATCAGAGCAATTCTGTTGATATACACAAAAAAGCCATTTATCAAGTCAAGCTTGGTGATGGCAAGCTCCAAAATGTTGAAGGAAAAAGAGTAATTACAGTAAAAACAAAAGGAGGTAATCTAAATTCTATCATAATGCTCCTTATGTTCCCGGTTTGACTCAAAATCTTTGTAAGTGTTGAACAATTGATGAGAAAAGAATACTCATTCAATTTTCATAGAGATGAATGTGTGATTTTTTAAAATTACTATGTCAATGGTACTCTATACGAATACCTATTTTCCATTCTTAGTCGACCCATTTGGCATTCATACGTTGATGGCCGTTCGAGGGGATGCAAATCATGGACACTTATGTACTGATGGATTCTAAGATGACATCTCAATCACAATAAATTATAAAAGCCTCAATTGCACGATGTCTCATAATATCAAGTTGAGGTGCCTAATGGGTGATAATGTTGGAGACGCGAACATTATGTGAGAAATCGATCAGAATTTCATCCCGGTTGTGTCAATTGACTGCCAAAATAAAGTGGCGGCCGCTGTCTTGCAGAGCACCTACTAGAGCTTCAATATCATTGCTAGATTTCACCCTCACGTACAAGGCGTGAAGCAGACCTTGATGGTGGAAAACATGTTCAAGGAAGGGAATAGAACCATGCACATCAATATGGAGGTGGGTATGGGCATGTA